AGAATTCAAACGTTTACTGAAAAATCTGCCTGCAGTCCCAGCACTTTGGGAGGCTAAGGCAGGTGTATCGCTTGAGACCAGCCTGGGCAAGATGGCAAAACCCTGTCTCTACAAAAATTAGCTGGGCATGATGGCATGCCTGTAGTCCCATTTACTCAGGAGGTTGAGGTGGGAAGATTACTCGAGCCCGAGAGGTTGAGGCTGCAGTGACCCATGGTCGTGCCATTGCACTTCAGCCTGGACTGCAGAGTTAGACTGTCTCAAAAAAAAGAAAAAAATTCCCATCCCTACCTAAGTGTTAGCAGATTAGTTGGGAAGAAAGGTGTTTTCCTGACTGTAACTCAAATAAGTGATGAGTGCTGTGGTAGCAGTGAGAACTGAGAAGATTTAGATCTTAATTCTGACTGCATAAAAAGGTGACATTTGAAGTAGACCATAATAGATGAGTAAAATGTTGCAGGTATTCAAATTAGCAGAAGCAAAAAATGCATGCTAGGATTAACATATATAGTACATAAGACTGCGAGTGCCTACCAGTTAGGAAACAGCTTGGTGTGGGCATAGGGTAAATAGGTTGAAAAGGTAATTTGTGGCCACATTATGAATCTCATACCAATGTCTTCTTTCTGTAGATGAGTCTGTGATGAGAGTAGTATGAAATTAGCTACAGCTGTCAAGACTGTGAAGGTATCTAGTTTGTTTTTCACTTAGCACATGAGAAACTATGGTACAGATATCATGAAACAGCTAAGTCCCATAGCTGGTTACTTATAGAACCAAGGCCTAAGTCCAGACTTGATTTTACAGTCTGCATTAGGAGATGTACTTGAGATGGTGAGGAAAAAGGTCAGACCAACCACAATACTACTTTAATAATCTAGGTGGAAAATCTCGAGGACCTCACTACGACAGTAAGGGTAAAGAGGATACTAAGTGAGGAAATTCTGAAGGTAAAAGCAGTTAAGATTTAGTGGGAGAGGGAGAAGTTGAAGATACCATAGCTTCTAATCTGGAGGAATGAGTGTTGATGCCATTGTAAAAAGATGGCAACATCTGCTTTGAAAGATATATATTATATGCAGATAGACTTGAAACCATCTGATTCTGGCCCATTTAAGTTGTTGAATCAGATGAAATGTGTTTGAAAATTTCTTCTAAACTAGAAAAGCATAATACAAAGTGAAAGCCCTGTCCATTGCCATTAATATGCCTTCTTGTAATGCCATTAAGCAATAGCCAAGAATTACTCATGAAAAGTAAAGGTGTTTCAAGTGAAGGTCAGCTTGTGCCACAAAAACCTGAAGAACATTATATAGGTTGCAACCTTAGTTTGCAGCACCCAGGACTTCTAGAGTCCTTGGGCTGCTAGTTCTGCTAGTTGTAGGTAGGTGATCTTACATTTCATTTGTAGTTTAACGTGTCTAGCATAATTCTCAATTTATGGGAAATGACAATCAGTGAATGGCTATTAATTGGTTAGTTGATTATAATTTGTGGTACAGTAATCCTAAGTAAGGGCTGATCTCTTGCAAAATACTAATAACCTTAATTTCATAGAGGAAAGTTTAGGAGTCTGGTCTCATGGGATGTTATTCAAAGTTGACAGCATATTCTGACCATACAAATGTGTAAAAGTGACATTTTGGGGTTATACATCTTCAGAACATGGAGGTAAAATACTGTATTTGCAGTGTTACATGATTGTAGAATCCCATCCTATTTTACTCCTAAGAGTAGTGGTCAGTTAAAGAGCTTTTTTTCACCTACTTTAGGGTACCTTAACATACCCTATTGAGGGTGATTAACTATTATATTGTAAAAGGAGAAAAAAAGGACTACCCTAGTCTATTTTCTTGGAAGATTTTGACTGATTTTGAGCTTTTGATATGGTAGGAAAATGTCACTTCAGAGGAATCTGTACATCTGCCTGTTCACTTGGGTACAGATTTTAGGGACCTTTGGATGTAGAGGACCAGTTATTTAAACAATTAGGTTGAGATTACAGAGTTCAATGTGTTTCTCTTAACTTTTATGAACAGATGGACTTATTTTGAGTCACTTGCCAAATGGCCCAACTGCTCATTTCAAAATGAGCAGTGTTCGTCTTCGTAAAGAAATTAAGGTAAGTTTTATACATTCCTTGATTGGCATTGATCTCTTCACAGTATTTGATTAGTAGATGCTGTATCTTATAGCTCTAATTTATTTTAATAAAGGCATTTTTTCTCCTGATTACAGTTTTTATCTATCAGTTTTCTTGGGAGACTGTGGTGAAGTTACAGCCAGCAGGCAATAGTCTTCATTACTATGAAGTACATTGATTTTCTAATAGGATATTTTTTTTGGTTGCATTTACTGCATATTAAAATAATTTTAGATATGTCTTATTTCATGGGTTTGGTAAGCTATCTGTGATAGTTTGTCACTAAAAAAACGATAAATTTGGCAAATTTGTCATGTAAATTTTGATATTTGAAATTGCATTGGGAGGTATTGCCAATTAGCTTAGCTCATGGTGATATTTATTTTTCATTATTTTTCTAGAGAAGAGGCAAGGACCCCACAGAACACATACCTGAAATAATTCTGAATAATTTTACAACACGGCTGGGTCATTCAATTGGACGTATGTTTGCATCTCTCTTCCCTCATAATCCTCAATTTATTGGAAGGCAGGTTGCCACATTCCACAATCAACGGGATTATATATTCTTCAGATTTCACAGGTGAGGAAGGTAAATTTGTTGAACTTTGACTTCAATCATGAAATATATTTTCAACATGAACTAGTTTTCCAATATATTGTAGCAAGTATCATACAAGATAAAATGAATTATCTTTTGAACCCTGTCATAATGTTAAACAATAGCTCATTCAGATTAATTTCACTCTTTTTGTCTTTGAAGATACATATTCAGGAGTGAAAAGAAAGTGGGAATTCAGGAACTTGGACCACGTTTTACCTTAAAATTAAGGTCTCTTCAGAAAGGAACCTTTGATTCTAAATATGGAGAGTATGAATGGGTCCATAAGGTATGTGCTTATTGTTTAAAAAACTAAGTAATTTTTAAAGTATGGGATAAGAGGGTGGGAGAGCATCAGGAATAGCTAATGGATGCTGGGCTTAATACCTAGGTGATGAAAATGATCTGTGCAGCAAACCACTATGGCACATGTTTACCTATGTAACAAACCTGCACATCCTGCACATATACCCCTGAAAAAAAAAAAAGGCTACAATAACCGTGGTTCATCTGAAGTATAAACATCAGTGGTTCTCAAAGTGGTACCAGCACCATTACCTACGAACCCGTTAAGAATGAAAATTCTTTGGCCCGCAGACCTACTGGATCAGCAACTTAGGGGGTGGGGCCCAGCAGCAATCTGCTTATAAGCCTGTGTTATATGTGACTGTATTACATGTTTCTTGAGAACTACTGATAGTTTTCTTAGACGTTTGGAGATGATCATCTTAAATAGTTTTCTTAGATGTTTGGAGATCATCAAAATAAATAAAAAAAATGAAAACTTTTCAATGTTTTAAAAAAACCCTTCCTTTTTTTTTTTTTTTTTTTGAGATGGAGTCTCAGCTCTGTTGCCCAGGCTGGAGTGCAGGGGCGCCATCTCTGCTCACTGCAACCTCCGCCTCCTGGGTTCAAGCTATTCTCCTGCCTCAGCCTCCCAAATAGCTGGCATTACAAGCGTGCACCACCACACTGGCTAATTTTTTGTATTTTTAGTAGAGACTGTTTCACCGTGTTAGCCAGGATGGTCTTGATCTCCTGATCCGCCCGCCTCAGCCTCCCAAAGTGCTGGGATTACAGGTGTAAGCCACTGCACCTGGCCTAAAACATCCTTTTCTATCTAGTATAAGCAGTACTTTACTTAGTAACATTTTATTTTAACATCACACACACACACAAAGTAACTGCCAACATCTTTTATATTAGACCGAAGACTGACTATTCAGGGTCTCACACAAACCCAGTTTTTCAGTGCGTTACCTATAAAGTTCTAGGGACGTTAACTTTCACTATTTTACCTGAATTGTTAATTATATTTTTGTTTTCTTTTCTTCTTCCACTCCCCCGCTTTCCACTTTCAGCCCCGGGAAATGGATACAAGTAGAAGAAAATTCCATTTATAAAAGTACTGAGAGAGTAATATCGGATTTTGCTGAACAGGCCTATCTTGAAGTTGGGTAATTTATTTTTGACAGAATACTCTCTTCAAAATGGCATTTGTTGATTTCATAAGCCTCTCACGTTTGGACAAATTACCAAATGCCATGAATTGCCACTGTGTGTTTATGTAGAAAATACAAATAAAAGTTATTTTGATGGCTTAGGTTTTCTTAAATTTAGTTACCTTGTTTTTGCGTAACTGTGAATAATTAAGTTGGAATCAAGATTCAGATTAACTTTCCTATTTGCATAGAACACATGAGAGGAATAAAATGGTTGGTAAATATTGGCTAACCCTTGATTTTTACACCAGATTAATCTTGGATTCCCAGTGTCTGGCACAGTTTTAATAACTTAAATGGAGGCCAGGTTTCTGAATGTTTTAACATTCTCTTAAGCCTTCAGAAGGGTAAAAAATTTAAAGCAAAATGATATACTGGGGTTTAAAGCAAAGTTACAAATTACTGAAGCTAATCTTTGCTTCCTGATTTTGAGGTTTTTGGTTTTTTGTGGCCAGGTTGGGGGGAGCTCTTTTTTACCTCATTACATGGTGCTATAGTACTCCATTCAGGCACTGAAACAAAGTTAACCCTATAAGTAACTCATGCATGGAAACCTGTAGAACTTAACAGCCTCCTCCTGACCTTACAAGAATAAAGGTGTGCGGTTTACCTTTAATTCCCTAGCAGTCTTGCCAGATGTATGGCATAAAGTCATGTAAGAAGAGCAAGTGGAACAAACTGTACAAACTTAACCCCTTCAGGTGTTCAGAACAGATTAATATACTATGTATTTAATACCAATAATAATGCAAAATAAAACTTTCATACTAAGTTTTATTGTATGCTGCCGCCAGTGTATATAAAACAATTACCCTTGTGAAACAGAAATTCATGAAAATTCAGAGAGGTAGATGTTAAGGACTGACAAAAGTAGAAGTTTGTATATTATGGCACATGTGTTACAGGGATAAGCTTTTGTACAGGCTTCAAATGTAGCTCTCTTGAATATTCACTGGATCATAAGGAGTGGTTTGGGAAACCTAAGATAGAAAAAAAAGGTGAGTTAGGGTGAAGTATCAAAGAATATAGTTTTTAATTTTTTTCATGAATAACCTAAGAGAAACAGGATGGGAAATGCCTATGGTGCAGTAACCAGTAAAATCTTTCCCTTAATTTTCACAACCACTCTGATGTATAAGTCATTCCTGTTTTATAAACAGACTTACAGATTAACTTGCTAAGATTACTGCCAAAATACATTCTGTATATAAAGGTTAATAAAGCTCTTTTAAATCAAGAAAAATCCAAACATCCTTAGAAAAATGAGCAAAAGTATTTAGCAGGGCAGTTTGGCAGAGTCTAGTGAAGTAGAAGATGCAACCACACTTCTAGTTACCTAGATAAACCCAGACATAGAGAAACATGTACAAGGATATTGACTGTATTAGTATTTTAACCACAAAGCACTGAAACACCTAAGTATAACTCCATAAGAGCATGGATAAACGAAGGTTTCTACATATGATGGAATACAAAGCTATAAGTTATGCCTTATGTTTTCTAACCATAAAATATTTCAGTTAAAAGAGTATAAACTAAAAAATTTTAAAAATGAAAGAATATTAAATTTTAAAAAGTGCACTAAAAAATTAAAACGAGCATTCTAACTTTAGGATTATTGATATGGAAAGGTACAAAAGTGTTAATCTGAGATATTTTGTAACAAAAATGTTGAAGAGGCATAAACAGAATGCTATGAAAAATGTTTAATCCCACCTAAAATAGTAACAAACAAGACTTAGGGCTCAAGGAAAAAGCATTCTCATGTTTCTAGTGGAAGGCCAAAGTATTATATTGGCAGGGGATATCAAGTACAACATTGTAAAAATGTTAAATGTTCACTCCTTGACTAATTTTACTTCCAGAAATTTAGTAGAGGTACTAAGTATATATATAGTTGTTCACCAAAATCTTCACCTCACTGTAACCTCAAATTTTGGAAACTTAAATATTCAATGAAGTATAATTCAATCACAGTACAACCATTAAAGATCTTGTTTACAAAGAATATTTAATGAAATAAGAAATTCACCATTTAAAAAAGGCAGAATGTAAAACAGCAAATACTGATCCTTAAATTTTTTTAATTAAAACATTTTCATGGCACCCATAAAATGTTTCATCCAAAAACTACCTTAATTTTACATGTGTTTCCTCACTGTCAATAAGCCTGTCGTCTTATCTGCATTTTTTGTGCATACATGTTCTACTGATTTTTTTAATCCTGTATTATTTCTTCTATTTTGTTGTGTGTAAAGAAGGAAAAATTTTAAAAGCTGGAATCTCAAAAAAAAAAAAAAATTCCTCTTAAAAGGAAATACAGGGCTGGGCACGGTGGCTCACGCCTGTAATCCCAGCATTTTGGGAGGCTGAGGCGGGCGGATCACCTGAGGTCAGGAGTTTGAGACCAGCCTGACCAACATGGAGAAACCTGTCTCTACTAAAAATACAAAAATCAGCTGGGTGTGGTGGTGTGCACCTGTAATCCCAATTACTCAGGAAGCTGAAGCAGGAGCACTTGAACCCGGGAGGCAGAGGTTGCAGTGAGCTGAGACTGCCCCATTGCACTCCAGTGATAAAACTATATTTATACACATAACTCCAATGTAGATTCTTTATATTCATGCCACTCAGTGTAGGTCTAGTACTATCAGCATCAGTGTAAGTGGGCAGTTGTAAGAAATGCAAGTTGTAGGGACTCAGTTCAGACCTTCTGAATTCGAATTTGCATTTTAACAAATTGATTTGCATATATTCAAGCTTGAGAAGCAATGCTTTGATGCCCAATTATTCTTCTCCTAGCCCGAATTGCTTCAAATCTTAATATCCACCAAGCTGTTTTCTTATACTGGTGGGATTAATAGACATTATTTTACCTTCTGGGTTCTTACCCCAGCCATATTTTTAAACTGGAGCCATTCATTTAAACACTTATCTGTAGATTCCTATGAACAAATTAATAAAACTATTAACAGCTGCCCAGTATTTTATTCAAATGAAAATAAACCACTCTGTAAAGTGAATACAAGAACTGAGGTTAAAAAAAATCATTAATAAAACATAAAAATATGAAACTTCCAAAAACTACCATGAAGAATTAAATGAATAGTACAAGAAACAAAGAATATTATAATAAACAGTTAAATATGAAAGTGAATTACTTCTTCATGTGCATTTTTGTGCACATGACACCTGTTTTTCAAAGGGCTTTTTTTCCCCCTGGTATTTCAAAAAACTTAAAACATCTTAACCAATCACTGTATTTACTGGAAACATGTACTTATACAGACTTCCTGGACACTACCAGGTCTACAAAGCTTAATTAAGGAGGGCACAACTATGTAACAAGGTATTTTAGGAAGCAGCTTCCTGGACTTTGGAGAGTCAGAATGTTAGTAAGGGGTGTGTGCCATATACAAAACCTTTTTTTACAAAGTACTATTAGTTTGCCTCTCATAGGTCAATATTGAGCACATTCCCTAACTAAAGTACTAAGAATTTATAAAATGCAGCACCCTTCAGTTACATTTTAGATGATCCAAAACCTTTTTTGTCACATCTCTTAGACTAACATACATTTGTACACATGGCATTTGATCTGGAAGGCACAAATTAATGTACTGAAGCATGCTTTAATAAAGCCAGCAGGGTCTTTAGTTTTAATTCTCTGAAATTCAGTCCACTGTCTGTTTGCCACCAAGAACTCGTATACTGCATTTCCTTCACGTTTCATCTTTAATCCAACAAATGAGAACAAAACATAAAGCCTGTTCTACCTCAGTCCAAACGCCTTTACCACACTGGCTTACTCAATTACATCTGATTTTCTCTTGCATTTCCAATTCCCAATCTTTGCTATACTGCTTTACAGCTGGGTTTAGTTAGAGCAATAACATCAGAGTTAATCCAAATCAGTTGGTAGTACTTTAAGTTATCCCCATAAACAATGCAGTTTTTAAAAAAACTGTCTAAATATTTGCTAGGTACACAAAAAGAAAACTAGTACTTGGGGACTCCCAAGATGCATATGCCATTAGGCCAATGCTCTAAAAAGTGACAGATGGCTTGTTACAGCAGTGGGATTTTGTAGTAACTCTCCTATACCCTCTTTATGGTTATTAAATCCTCTATTTAACCTTCTTATAGTAAAATAGAAACGATTAACCTTCATGACTACTAAGTCAGCAAGTTTCAGGAATCCTTACTTTCCTTGCAAAACAGAAAAATACTGGAAATGGAGGGCCAAAGGAAAGGGCATGGGATGATCTTTTAAGTGCTGCAAAGAAAGAGAAGACTAGTTATTCCTACAATGTGGGTTTTTGGTTTTAATTTAAGGAAACTTACCTTTGAAAGATTCATTTTACTACAAAAAGGAACAGACTTTCTGGGGCCTGAAGGGATTTGTACTTGAAGATACTCCAGTCAGCAAAGGGTCATGTTGAGCATTCTGCAGACAGAATTGTTTCAAATCTGCAGCTGCCTGGGAAACCTATACAAAACAAAGAGGGGAGGGAAGCGCCAGATGGTGAGAACATTTTAATGAAGGTTTTCTCAATCTTTGGAAATACTGTACTTCCAATAAAACAGTACTTCTCTTGCTTCAAAAGAAGATACTATATAATAATTGAAGACTTAAGTCATATAGTGAGCTTTTTTTTTTTTTTGAGATGGAGTCTCATTCTGTGGTCAGGCTGGAGTGCAGTGGTGCGATCTCAGCTCACTGCAACCTCCCCTTCCTGGATTCAAGCGATTCTCCTGCCTCAGCCTCCTGAGTAGCTGGGATTACAAGCGCATCACCACATCCAGCTAATTTTTGTATTTGTAGTAGACGGGGTTTCACCATGTTGGCCAGGATGGTCTCGATCTCTTGACCTTGTGATCTGCCCACATTGGCCTCCCAAAGTGCGAGATTACAGGCGTGAGCCACCGCACCCAGCCTAGTGAGCTCTTAATACTTAAAACCAATGCTTGTAAATAAGACTGATTTAAAGTATGTTTTCTTTTGTTTGGTTACTAGAAGCATCAGATGACTGAGTACAAACAGTAGAATTATGTTTATTTTTGCAAAGCACAACACATCTTATTAATAATAGCCTGTTCAAGTGCAAACCTGAGGGAACTTAACATCTTGTTTCTTAAAAAAAAATTAAAGGTTAAACAAAAAGTAACATTCTAGCAAACTATTATTTTGTCTTGAAAGCAGTATTACTGGAAAAATGCTACTGTGAATGAACATAATGTGGGATAGCACATAATTTAGAAACGCAAACACTATAAGAATGCATTCAGTATACTGATCCTCAAATTTATCAGCCCCTTATACTGTTGCATTTAAACTAAAACAAATTAAAAGAGGCATGCATTCTTTCACTTAGACATCTACTATTTCTATATATTCTGCTAAGGTGATGTAGGATATAAACAAAATAACCATAAAGCCATAGAAGTTCCTTAAGTCCTGTTTGGGTGGCTCTGTATATGTATATTAACACTTAAATCATATTTAAGTCAATAGTTTCTTAAAGGCAGGCTGCTCAGAAAAACTGTTAAAATGATGTTTGCTATCAGCCTTTCAGTCACATGACACTGGGCAGAAATCTGTCACTGTCTAGTTTAGTAACATTAAAATAGTTGATGGTACACAAATACCAAAACAATGAACTGAACCGTTCAGACGTGGAACATGAATAAAACATGCCCGAAATGCATCTAATATCTGAAGTCTTGAACTGAGATTTAAGAAGTGGGAGAAATACTCATTTATTTTATTCTCAGTGTTTACTGCAAGGAGGCTGGGAGCAGGTGTCCAGTCCATCCAGCTGGATATGTGACCTTAGGGAATTAATAGCATCACATATGCTCTCTATACCAAGAACCCCTGCAGATTACAGCTGTACCTCCAACCTGATAAAATAATTCATCATCCTAAGATGAATCTAAACGCTTATCGAATCTATTTGTGTGTCTGGCTTATACAACAGTCCAGGGTAATGAGTTCCATAGGTTTAGTAGCTCCTATGTAAAAGAAGTATTTTTACAAATGACTAAACCCCCTCATCCCCTCCCTTCCAGAAGAAGTGTAGCTAAAGTAGGGGAACAGTGGTGTCCTTTTTCACCAAATATTGTAACAATGTTTAGTGTTTTCATTCATATTAACCAGCAGGAAGCATAAAGAGTACCTGTTAATTTTCTATTTAAAGTGTAGGTGGGGTCCAATGTAACTCCCTTTCACAAGTTCCAAGCACCACTATGGGCTGCATATACTTACAGGCACTGAGAATACATAACAGCCAGAGAGCGCCCTGTTGTTAAGGAGCTGACAGTTAAGAGAAAATGACAGACAAGGTGCTCTGTAGTAAAATGAGTAATCGGTTAGATAGTGACTGGGTGCCCAGCTAAGGGAAGGTGTCTGAGGTGACATTGAAGCTGAGATCTCAATGACAAGAGATCCAACCAAATAACCATCAGTGAGAAACAGCATTCCAAACAGTGAGGAAAGCTGAGACAAAGACTCTCAAACTGGAACAAGCTGCTAGCCCCCAAGGCACTGTAACAATCACCATCCAGGAGGTTGAAACCCTGTAATCCTAGCCTAATTATTAGTGCCCCTTTTCACTCTCAAAAATGTCCTGACCTACCTATGACAGTTTGTCAAGCACTTATGATAAGTTCTATCAACTGTACTCAAACATAAAGGTTAAAAGATTGTACTAGTTTAAAAATCTCACAAAAAATCACCTAGCCCAGTCATTGATAAAACAGATACACAATGTTAAACCACATTTAGCAACATGTCTAAAGAAAAGCTCATTAAAAAGTCCCAAAGGGGATGCTCCCCTTCTTGCTACAGCCTTAACATCAGGCAGTAACTCCAAAACCAAATCATTTCTGGTGCCTTTAATGATCCCGACCAGAACCAGAGGGCTACTGAAGATTTAGGTAGGATCGGTTTTGGGGGATTAGGGGAGCAGCAGCTAGGGTTTCCAAAGTAAAGTTCTTGGAGTATTTTAGTCTGAAAACCTCATGTCATTTTCTTTGGAGACTAAGTATGTACAATTTATTGCTTTCACTATCCCGCCCCATTTTTTCTTTCTTGGTCCATCCTATCTGTGATAAAGGCATACCTGAATGATATATAATGGTTAATAAATGATTTCGAATTTCAGAGCCAAATCCAGCCAAGACTCACTAGAAACCACTGTGCTGAGGTAAGAATTGGGAGAGTAGAGAAATAGATTCCAAACTTCAGTGAGGTCTACAGCACTTCAAGGACTCTAAGTGAGGGGTATCCCACACCAAGACGAATGAGAATCTCTCTTCCCTTCTGAGTTGACCACAACTGAGTAAGCCAGGTCCCTCACATTTCTAGTTAACAAAGCTAAATGGGAGACCCTCTCTCAGGGGGATCCTACAACAAGACGAATGAGAATTTCCCTTCCCTTTTGAGGTGACCACAACTGAGTAAGCTAGGTCTCTGACATTTCCAGTTAAGAAAGCTTAGAGACCCTACCTCTCTCACTCCACAAAACATTTCAGGAAGTAATAAAGACGAGCCTGGTGAGTATAAAATCAAATCATCTTAGGAACTGGCTGCTTTTAACAGGGCACATGATTTACATTCTTCTTTTTTTAACTGCAGAAGTGTTTCACATGTAGCCTGACTTACTGTACCAGAAAGAAGCCAATCCATTCAGGACTGTAAAAATCAGGAAATACTTGGAATAGCACTTGAATGTCAAATTCTATCAACACAGACAAAACGCTTTTTCTCCCAAAGTACCCCCAAGACAAGGCCAATACTAACCAGACGCCAAAATAAGACCAATAATTACCCACAATAATCATTTTCTCGGGCATGCGGACCAGTCGATACCCCCAAGGTCAAATACGAGCAAACTGTGCCATAGGTATGAAATGCACGCTTTGTTCGAGGTTGTACGGGGCACTAACCGGAACTTCACACTCCAGGATCGTTTCGAAAAATGCTTCTTTAATCCATAGTTTAAGTTATGCAATAATTCGCTTAAAAGTATGTGTTGAATGGACAAGAGAAGTTGAAGGTAAGAATTTAATACTAAAGGAAGTAGGTTTGGGAAAGATAAAATGGGGGGAGAAAAGTCTGCTCTGAATCAAAAGTCGGAAAATACCCTGTCCGATGAGAAACAGGAGGCTGGCGAAGTGGGAAAGGAAGGGTGCGGACGGCGCGCGGAGGCGCAGCTGTTGGCGAGACCAGCCGAGAAGGCGGCCAAGCGAGGTAGAGAGGGAGGAGGACCGGAATGTGGGCCACGGTTCAGCCCAGTGGCCAGCCCTCCTCGGAAAGTCCTGGGGCGGAAGGGCGAACTAATCGTCCCCCCAAAACACAGCCTAGACCCACGCGGCGCCTTCTCTAAAGCTGGCCGCTCCCCGTTCGCCGCCGCCGAGCGCGCGTCTTCTCCAGGGGAAGCGAGAGCCGGCGCGTGTCCCGCCCGACCCCGCCAGCTGGGCCGCCGGATCCCACCCGCCGCTGCTGCCGCCGCCGCCACCGCCTTCCTCCCGCCTCGGCCGCCCGCCCTCGCTCACTTTGACGCGGTTGAGCCCGGCCTCCAGCCGGAGCTGTTGAACCACTTTCTTCATAGCGGCAACGCTGGAGGAGCCAGACATGGTGCACACGACGGCCGCGCCGATTCGTTGGTCGGTGGGTCGTGGGCCGTGGGTCGGAGGGGCCAGACAACTAAGCAGCGCGCGGCGGGGGCGGGGCTCCGAACTTTGTCTCTAAGTTTCCGGTTCTGTGCTCAGCGGCTCCACCCTCGATGCGCATGCGCGCCTTTCCCACCCTCTGTTCCGGCTCCACACCAGGCCAGGAGCGCGAGCCTGGAGGAGGGGGAGGAGAAGGGGCGGAGCAGTCGGTGGGCGCGGCTGCTGGGGAGGCGAGCGCGACTGGACTCTTTAAGTTCCCCTTTCCTCTGCAGAGGGATCGATTAGGGAGAGGTAAGGAGACAGCTCATCGTTAGCCGCTAAGACCTAAGAGGGGGTCTGAAGAGGGCCAGTGAGGGAAGTCAGAGCTGTGGAGTTTCTAAAAGGTCCGGCGGCGGGTGACCAGGAGGTCTCAGTTTTCCTCCCAGAGTTTATGGGAGGGGTTGAGGGAAGTGAGGGGAGATGCCCGCCGAAGCGTAGGAGCTACTGTGCACCCGGTGTGAGTCACCCGCACACCCCCGCCCCGTACAGGCGTGTCTCTCTGTGATCCTGGTTTGGCCAACAGGCATTCTCAGTTCCACCCCCAACCCCCAGTCCGGCTGACACGAGGCGGAGGGAAGGCGCGGAGGTCGCTGTCGCCTACCCAGCGGAGCCGGGCGGGCGGGGAACAGGGGCGCTGATTCGCTGGAGAAAGGACCTTCTCGAGGTTTGACTTGACTGGCTTCTTAGCTCTTGAATCGGTTTTTCTGAAGGAGATTGTGAAGAAGCCAAGGTGCTGGCTGAAGATTACACCTGTCTACTGTGTTACCCATTTCCTCTGGAGAATTAACACTTATTGTACTTTTTAAAATAAAACTTGTTTTGGTGTTTCCGGAAAGTTTGTTTTTTAGTATTTCCGTTGTAATTTATTACCTCTTGCTTGAAACTGAGTCCCAAAGGAGTTTTTAGGAGAGAGGGTAGAATCTAACCAAACAAAATAGGCTCAGCCAGCCAGTCAGTACGTCTTTCTTTCATCCATGGAAATGTGTGTGTGATGTCACAGCACTAACGGCAGATGTTTCCTATTTCTTTTGGGGTAGTCAGTCTCCGAATGCGCTGATGTTTTCCATTAATGTGAATAATTTCATCATTAATGGATTTCAAATTTTTTATTAGAGAAGCATGTGTAATTGCTCTGGTCAACAAAATCTAAATTACTTGCTCAACAGTTTATATCAGTTCGCAAAAATGTACATCGTAAGTTTAGCATCTTACTTAATTCGTACGGATGTAATTAATGATTGGGGTTAAAACCAGGGTTTGAATTCTGGCTCTGCTACTTATGGTATTCTTGGGCAAGCTACTTAAATTACTGAGGCTTTATTTCCTTATTTCAAAATAAATTATAAAGCTTCGTAGAGTTGTTTTTCAGAATGAAATGACATTATATATAAAAAGAATATGAAAGCTATCTTAATAAATATTGTCTTTTCCCAAAAGGGATTATAATTATTTTACCTTTGGTGCTTTGTTGACTGTGTAATGCTAAAACGTCATTCACACTTTACAGGTTTGTAAGATTAAACACAAGTATCTTTATTAAAGAATGATCTATTTTACAGTAGTTGTAAAATATATCACTGAGCTCTTAGAACCGCGGAATGTTAATGCTGGAAGAGATTTTAGGGAATATATGGTCCAATAATTACTTCTGTGAGGGAGACTGTTGAGGAATAAACAGTGTTTTAGGCCGAAACAGTTTCAGAAAAAAAAAAAATTTATTGCTTTTTTATTAACTGCTGCATTGGGAAACCGCAGACTGGACTGCTGTCTCAAACACTAGATGTTATTGTTTGTAGCGTGTGTTTAAAGATTCTATTTATGATACAAAAGAAAAAAAAACCATTGAGGCCGTGTGCCGTGGCTCACGCCTGTAATCCCAGCACTTTAGCAGGCTGAGGCAGGCGGATCACGAGGTGGAGATTGAGACCATCCTGGCCAACGTGGTGAAACCTCGTCTCTACTAAAAAATACTAAAATTAGCCGGGCGTGGTGACACACGCCTGTAGTCCCAGCTACCCAGGAGGCTTGATGCAGGAGAATCACTTGAACCTGGGAGGCAGAGGTTGCAGTGAGCCGAGATGGCGCCACTGCACTCCAGCCTGGGGACAGAGCGAGACTCCATCTCAAAAAAAAAAAAAAAAGAAACCATTGAGATAACTTTAAGTTCCGTTGCGTCTGAAGTGATTACCAGTAAATATAGTTTATGAACTATCTGTATCTCTTAAATTTTTGTTTAGGAGATGTCCTTTGACCTTCCACAATGATCTAAAACATTTCAAACATGTTTCCAACTGTACAGACATAGATGCTCACCCTTCAGTTGGTTGAAGACTGGCCTGTTGTAAAAACAATTTGTCACCAAGAGGATTCTTGTAGCAATAAATGGCAAGAAAAGACAACCAAGTAATCCGTCACTTTATGTTTTGTCAGCAGAGCACTGTCAATTTAAATTTACCTGAGATCTTCACCTTATTCAATTAATACCCTAAGTTCTTTAGTTCACTAGGTCTAAATTCAGAATTTGAATAAATAAGATTCACATGCCTTACTTTGTAGTTTAACTAAAAACTGAATCTCTTCAAAGGGGGATTTCACAATTCTGACTTCTTTCTCAAAGAATGAGCTTATACTGTTTTTATAATGGCTAAGGAAATTGAAGTTTGGAGAAGAAAATATATACAGTAGCTGCAAATAAAATACTTAGGAATTAACCAAGGAAGTTAAAGATCTCTACAATGAAAACCATAAATACTCCATGTTCATGTATTGGAAGATTCGGTATAGTTAAAATGTCTCTAATACCCAAAGCAATCTGCAGATTCAATGCAATCTCTATTAAAATACCCATGACATTCTTCGCAGAAGTATTTTAAAAAATCCTAAAACTTACACAGAACCATGAAAGACCCAGAGTCACCAAAGTTACCCTGAGCAAAAAATAAAAATGGAGGAATCATGTTACCTGACCTCAAATTATGCAACAGAGCTATAGTAACCAAAACAGCATGGTAACTGGCATAAAAACAGACACACAGACCAGTAGAACAGACTAGAGAACCCAGAAACAAATTCATTCACCTGCAGTGAACTCGTTTTTTACAAAGGTGCCAAGAACATACATTGGAGAAAGGACAGTCTCTTCAATAAATGGTGCTGGGAAAACTGAATATCCATATTAGAAGAATGAAACTGGATCTCTCTCCTCATATACCAAAATCAAATCAAAATGGGTTAAAGACTTAAATCTAAGACTTCAAACTATGAAACTACTATAAGAAAACATTGGGGGTGGGGCATGGTGGCTCACACCTGTAATCCCAGCACTTTGGGAGGCCGAGGCGGGTGGATCACCTGAGGTCAAGAGTTTCAGGCCAGCCTGACCAACATGTAGTGAAACCTTGTCTCTACTAAAAATACAAAAATTAGCTGGGCATAGTGGCGCACACCTGTAGTCGCAGCTACTTGGGAAGCTGAGGCAAGAGAATCACTTGAATCCGGGAGGCAGAGATTGCAGTAAGCTGAGATCATGCCATTGCACTCCAGCCTGGGCGACAGAGTGAGACTCCAGCTCTCAAAAAGGGAAAAGAAAACATTGGAGAAACTTTCCAGTATATTGGATTGGGTAAAGATTTTTTGAATAATGCCCTACAAGCACAGGCAACCAAAGCAAAAATGAACAAATGGGATTACATCAAGTTAAAAACCTGCACAGGACCAGGCATGGTGGCTTACACTTGTAATCCCAGCACTTTGAGAGGCTGAAACAGGTGGATTGCTTGAACCCAGAAGTTTGATAACAGCCTGGGCAACATGGCAAAGCCAAAACCCCATCTTTACAAAAATACAAAAAGTAGCTGGGTATGGTGGCATGTACCTGTGATCCCAGCTACTTGGTGACCCACAGAGGTCAAGGCTGCAGTGAGCTGTGATCATGCCACTGCATTCCAGCATGGGCAACAGAGAAGCCCTGTCTCAAAAAAATAAAAAATGAAAATGAAAACCTTCTGCACTACAAAGGAAACGATCAGCAAAGTGAAGAGATAAGTCACAGAATGGGAAGAAATATTTGCAAACTATTCATCTGATAAAGGATTTATAAGCAGAATATATAAGGAGCTCAACTATATAGGAAAAAAAATCTAATAATCCACTTTAAAAATGGGCAAAAATGCTGAATAAACACTTTTCAAAAGAAGACTTACAAATGGCAAACAGGTATATGAAAAGGTGTTCCAACATCACTGATCATCAGGAGAAATGCAAATCAAAACTACGATGAGATATCATCTCTCCTCAAAGTGGCTTTTATGCAAAAGATAGACAATAACAAATGCTGGTGAGGATGTGGAGAAAAGGGAACCCTTGTACACTGTTGGTGAGAATGTAAATTAGTACCACCACTATGGAGACCAACTTGGAGGTTTCTCAAAAAAACTAAAAATAGAGCTTCAGTATGTCCCAGGAATCCCACCGCTAGCTATAGACCCAAAAGAAAAGAAACCAGTATATCGAGGTATCTGCACTCCCTTGTTTACTGCAGCACTATTCACAATAGCCAAGATTTAAAAGCAGCCTAAGCGTCTATCAACAGATGAATGAGTAAACAAAATGTGGTACAAATAAACAATGGAGTACCATTCTGCCATAAAAAAGAATGAGATTATCTCATTTGCAACCACATGGATAGAACTGGAGGTCATTATGTTAAGTGAAAAAACTGGGTGCAGAAACACAAACTTCACATGTTCTCACTTATTTGGCAGTAAAAAATAAAACAATTGAACTCATGGAGATAGTAGAATGATGGTTACCAGAGGCTGGGAAGAGTAGTAGGGTGGGAACTGGGGATGGTTAATGGGTACAGAAATATTAAGTTAGATAAAGTGAATAAAATCTAGTATTTGATAGCACAAAAGGGTGATTATAGTCAACAATAATTAAACATTTTAAAATAAGACTATAATTTGATTTTTTGTAACACAAAGAAAGGATAAATGCTTGAGGTCATGGATACCCTATTTACCCTGATGTGATTTTCACACGTTGTATGCCTGTATCAAAATATTTCATGTACCCATAAATATATACACCTACTACATGCCCACAAAAATTACAAAGTAAAAGAAACCTAACTCTATAATTCCTTTTCCAACATAGATTCTAACCCTATATCATTCTGTTACTCTCTGGGAGACCCTCCCCCACTCTAAAATGTCCTTATATATCCTGAGAAGGTTTCAAATCAAGACAAGTCTGCCATTTTGTCTACATTAGGACCTGTCTAGAAAACAAACCTCATTCCTCAATTGGTTCCACAAGTCTAACTACTATAAATGCTTGTGGATTCTGGAGTGCCCTCAGGCATTTCAGGCTTTTTTTCTTTTTTCTTTTTTTTGAGATGGAGTTTTACTGTTGTTGCCCAGGCTAGAGTGCAATGGCGTGATCTCAGCTCACCACAACCTCTGCCTCCTGGGTTCAAGCAAGTTTCCTACCTCAGCCTCCCGAGTAGCTGGGATTACAGGCATGCACCACTATGCCTGACTAATTTTGTGTTTTTACCAGAGACGGAGTTCACCATGTGGGTCAGGCTGGTCTCAAACTCCTGACCTCAGGTGATCCACCCGCCTCAGCCTCCCAAAGTGCTGGGATTATAGGCGTGAGGCGTGAGCGACCGCACCCGGCCTCATTTCAGGCATTTTAATCTATTTACCTAAGACAGGTTACCCTTTAAATTGATTAGAATTTTATTTACAGCTTAACCAGGAACCAAATAAAGCAGAACTCCCAGGACATATACATAACCTGAATCTATCCTGATCAGATAGACTTCATGCCTTGGTGATTTAAGAATCAGGAACTATGTGAAAAAATACTCCCATCATCTGTCATAAAGTTAACTGTATTTTGATTTTTTTATTCCAGAATGTAAGTTTCCCTTTCACTTGTTGCATTCCCTGAGCAATCAAGTAATCAAAACATTTTAGAGCTGCAAAGGATTTTGAAGAGTTCAAGTCACTTACCACTAAGAAACTGACACTTGGACCAGTGAATGGTTTTATAGGTTATAAGGGACCAGAAATCTGCTTTTCTGGCTCCCAATCAATCTGATTACCTTGTGTGAGATTCTACTTTATTGATATATTTAAACATAGCCCATGTCAGCATTTAGGATTTTCCAAAGTACATCGAGCAATCTTTGTATGCCGTATTATCAAATCAAACAGGAAATAAAAATTACTAGAATCCTTATTTCTAGAAACTGAATAAGTATCAGAAGTTCTTAAGCTTGATTTTCAGCTCTGCTACTGACACTGAAAATCATTTTGGAAAAGTGCAGAGAAAACATGATGGGTAGATATTTTGAAAGGAGGGACTAGATCAGAGATGGCAGATAGGTTATACATCCACCAAGAGTTACTCCTTCTTAAACTCATAGTTGACTGTGGTAATTCGATTCTGTACTATTTCCTACTGAGATGTAGCCTTGGGATCCTACTTAGTAATTCACTTCTAGATAGTCAGTACCAGTTGATGGGAATTAGCATGCAAGATAAAATTGATTTTCCATTCCTGGCACTAGAGTTGTAAAGCAAAATTATGCAGTAAATGAAAGATTAGACAGGAACTTAATAGTAACTTTATTTTTGGTTATTGAGATATCAGTCTCCTTTCATTTGAATTGTTGGCATCGGTTTGTTCATTAGCTAATTAGTAACAGGTAAAAAATGTGAAAATCCCACATATTATACGTTAGGATTTAGTATATGATTTGGTTAGGATCAACTACAAATTCTGAACATGCCTAAAGTTTTTTTTGTTTTGTTTTGTTTTGTTTTTTTGTTACAGAGTTTCGCTCTTGTTGCCCAGGCTAGAGTGCAATGGTGCAATCTTGGCTCATGCAACCTCTGTCTCCCGGGTTCAAGCGATTCTCCTGCCTCAGTCTCTGGAGTAGCTGAGATTACAGACATGCACCACCATGCTCAGCTAATTTTGTATTTTTAGTAGAGATGGGGTTTCTCCATGTTGGTCAGGCTGGTCTCGAACTCCCGACCACAGGTGATCTGCCTGCCTCGGCCTCCCAAAGTACTGGGATTACAGGCGTGAGCCACCGCGCCAGTCAAGCATGCCTAAAGTTTTAATTAGCCTCTCGTAGTTTCAATAGCAAAGGCTTACTCAAGTTAGCACAAGCAATGAGGAGATTATTGTAAAGATCAACGTAGAGCAGCAGTGGAGGCACATATCCCTTGTAAATCCCAAAACAGAAACTGTCACGCTAATAAGCCAAACTGGAAGTAGATCCAAGGCTAGATACTTCAGCCCCAAGACTTCTTGATTCCTCTCTAGTGCTTAGTTATAAACATGAATCAGCTATGTTACTTCCTCAGTTTACTTCTCACTACCAGTTAACTTAGTCATATTTTCTATGCTTTATCTTTTTTTATCTCTTTATAGATAAGTATAGCTTTCCCGTAACATAGGCTTGCCTCATGGCTATGATGCTATGATACTGCCTCATGACTTTTCTGTATTCTTTTTTTTTTTTTTGAGATGGAGTCACTCTGTCGCCCAGGTTAGAGTGCAATAGCACGATCTTGGCTCACTGCAACCTCCCCTGGTTCAAGCAATTCCCCTGCCTCAGCCTCTGGAGTAGATGGGATTACAGGCGCATGCCACCACACCCAGCTAATTTTTTTTTTTTTTTTTTTTTTTGGATTTTTAGTAGAGACGGGGTTTCACCATGTTGGCCAGACTGGTCTCAAACTCCTGACCTCAGGCAATCCGCCCCTCTCGGCCTCCCAAAGTGCTGGGATTATAGGCATGAGCCACGGCACCCGGCTCTCTTTTCTATATTCTTGTTAGTAATGTCTACTAACGCTTGAATCTTGAGCTCTTTTCCCAGGTCTAATTCCCAAGGGCTCATCTGTTTACATCAGAACATTTTGTTTGTTTCTGGTTAGCCTAGGATTTGGTCTCCAGCAATGATCGCATCAGAAATGATAAAGGGAGTTCTTAAAATCCCAAACATGGCTTCTTTGCCATTACTTTAGAAGGGATACTGTAGGTTGAGTATCCCTTATCCAAAACGTTTGGTGTCAGAAATGTTTCAGATTTCAGAGTTTTTCAAATTTTGGGGTATTTGCATTATATCGGTTAAACAATCCTAATCCAAAATCCAAAATGCTCCAATGAGCATTTCTTTGGAGCATCATGTCAGCATTCAAAAAGTTTCAGATTTTTGAGCATTTCAGATTTCAGATTTTAAAATTACGGATACTCAGCCTGTATAGTGGGGTCCTGTATAGGTTTACCTCAGGACAACAATAAAGCAGGTCTTGACTGATCTATCTTGAGTTTGTTTAATTAAAAATTTGTTCTGGGATGGGCACATTGGTGGCTCAGGCCCGTAATCCCAGCACTTCCGGAGGCCGAGACGGGCAGATCACTTGAGGTCAGGAGTTCGAGACCTGCCTGGCCAACATGGTGAAAACCTGTCTCTATTAAAAATACAGAAATTAACTGAAAGTGGTGGCACACGACTGTCATCTCAGCTACTTGGGAGGGTAAGGCAGGAGAATCACTTGAACCTGGGAGGCAGAGGCTGCAGTGAGCCAAGACTGCGCCACTGCACTCCAGCCTGGGTGACACAGGGAGACTCTGTCTCAAAAAAAAAGAAAAAAAAAATTGTTCTGAATTAAAATATCAAATTTTAATATGTAACAAATTAAAACTTTTAGCCTACTAACTTGCATACCAGTGAATCAATGAATGTCCTTATGCTATAATTATTATAGATTATTAACTAATTATTATCTAATAATGAAGTGACCATATATGTATCTGAGTCATCTTTCACTTAGGTTCATAATAGAGGCTAATATTAATACAGTGGCATACAGAGTTTTGTATAGATATATAAATACTTTCTTAAAGTACTAATGTGTACTTAAAATAGCGTTTGACATGGTCAAAATGATAAATCACATTCTAAGTTTTAATTATTATAAGAAATATGGAAAGTAATATGTAAAACTAATTTAAGGAGATGCTATATTTCAGGAGATAATCTTTTAATTTTGATACCATTAAAACAATTAGTGGTACTTGTTAGGGTTTTGTAGAGCTACGATCAGTACCAGATCAGAGGAATTTTAAGTTTTGTTGGAGATAAATCCTTATTTTAACATAAATCGAGGAAGAGCAATGCTTTGAAATCTAGAAAAGCTTCAGCTCTTGTGTTGATATGATTAGTGTATCCTTAAGGATTATCCTGCTTTGATAATTCCTTTTAGAGTAATAATTCAGCTACCTTATTTTTTATTTTTTCTTATATACATTATATATTTTTAATTGTATCATATTCTTGTAAACTGCCATAAATCCTGAGGAAAAACACAGGGAATAATACACAAATGAAGCCTGATATATTTAAAGACTGGCATTTTCACCTGGAATGATTGTTCATGTTTTTTATTATTGAGGCATCAAAACCCAGGAAGAAATGTATATGGTAAAACAGTTTTCATCATTCTATAGCCATTTTAACTAGCCCAGAGGCTAATTAAAACTTTAGGCATGCTTAGAATTTGTCGTTGATCGTAACCAAGTATCATAAATTCTGTCTTTCTACTTCCAAATGTGTATTTCTACTTCATGTAAAATGCTATCTATTTAACCTTAATTTTTGACCAAGAAAAGATGAATTCTTTAGAATAGTAAAGTATGTCCTGGTCACAAGTCCATTATAGTGTAATTTGTCACGTTACTTAATTGTATAGATTTATACTCATTTCATTACACAGTCCTATTTACTAGTAATATGTCCTTTTGAGTTAGAATAATAAAGATTATATATATTTCTAAGTTTTCATTTTTAGTTTATTTAATGTTTTTGTGTTTTCCTTTTTATTTCTTGAACAAATCAGAGACCAGAAATGAGTGGAATGCTATCTTAAGCCAAAAAACTATTACAATTTTTATTTAATACTACTTAAATGAAGAAAGATAAAAAAAGAAACAAAATTCAAATTGATAATTATACCATTCAGACATTAGTAAATATGTCGCTCAATCCAAGTCGACCTTCCTCATCAGAGGTAAGAAAATCTTTTTATGCTAAAATATAAGAAAGACCTGCTTATCATTGTTTTTGAAAAGTTTTATAAAAGCAAAAACATAAATTATATAAAGTATTAGTTATTGACTCCACCATGATGCCAACTTCATATATCCCATTGCCTGGTTACGCTTCTCGTGTCGCTGGCTCACTTCCTCTACCCCAACCATGTTGGGATCCCCAATGCATTGATTCTATCACCTTTTTTACTATTTCTCAATTGTATGATTGAAGGTGGTACCCTCCATATCTAGCTTAAGTTCCATAGAGCAGTCATGATCACTCCTTTGCACATACTTTTGACTCCTTGCCCCTCTGTCACTTCTTTGTGCTGCTTGGCAAAACAACAAACATGGTTAATGCATTTCTCCACCTGTTCTGTACCTACCCCTGAGCAGCTGAACATGGCTAGACAAAAAAAATGTATACCATCATAAGTACCATTCTCACTTTAAATTCATGACCATGAATTTCAAATGGAATCTTTTCTGGTGGGCAGTCTTACTGTCTGCGACTCATTAATTCACTCTTTCACTCTTCTGAACAAGTATGTCATACCATCTCAGACCCCCAATACCTTCTATTTTCTCTTAAACCAAGTGCAATCAAGATTTCATCTCAATTATTCCACCAAAACTGTTCTCATTAAATTCACCCTTTCATTACTAAATCTGTTGGTTAATTCTTATCCTAAACATTCTTGATCTATATGTGCACAATAGCTGACACCATTAATCACTTTCTCTTCCTTGACATAGGCTTCACTAGGCTTCTAGCATACATATTATGTTTGTTTTCTTCTTACCTCCCTGGTTGTTCAATCTCAGTCATCTTTACTGGGTCTTCATCTTCCTCCTGACCTCTTAATTTGTGAATACATCAGGGTTCAGCTCTTTTATGTTTGTTTTCTTCTTACCTCCCTGGTTGTTCATTCTCAGTCATCTTTACTGGGCCTTCATCTTCTTACTGACCTCTTAATTTTGGAATACATCAGGGTTCAGCTCTTTGTTCTCTTCTCTGCCTACACTCATTCCTTGGTGATCTCATCTAGTCTAATAGATTTAAATACCAACTTTATGCCAAGGATTTCCAAATTTATAGCCTTATCTCAGTCCTCTTTCCCAAATTCCAGATTCACATAGGCCTATATTCAACTGACTAACTGACATCTCCACTTGGATGGCCAATAGATATCTCATCTTAATATGTCTGAAACTGGATTTTTTTTCCCTTCCCTAAAACTTGCACTACCCATGACTTTTGCCATTTCAGATACTGAAAGGTCAAATCTGTCCTTTCGGTATCTGAGGCCAAATGCCTTGGAGTCATACTTGATTCTTCTTGCATACTTGAGTCTTCTACTTGACTCTTCTTTCAAACTCCACTTCCAGTAGATTGACTCTGACTCTTCTACTTGACTCTTAAACTCCACTTCCAATTGATTGACTCTAACTTTTAAATACATACAAAATCTGACTGCTTTTTAATAACCTTTACTGCTAGCACATGAGTCACCATTGTCTCACACTCTAATTATTCCAGTAGCTTCATAACAAGTTCCCTTTTCTTGCCTCTTATAGTCTGTTCTAGCTATGATCCCTATCACTCAACTAATTAAGTAAAGCATTATGTATATCCTGATATAATGCAATATAAAATACAGGACACCACTTATAAAATATTATTGCCCCTGTGTCACTTGAAGGCTGGATAGTTAACTGTTTACAAGAGAGAAGAGAGGTTGGAGAAACAAGTTAAATGACACCTTAGAGATAATAAAGTATATTCAGAATGTAGAACATTCTGTAAGACAACTGGCTCAGTATCTTTTAAAAAGTCAATGCCATGTTAAAAATAAAAAGCAAAAAATAGGTTTGGGAGCTCTTCAAGATGAAAGTTTTAAAAGACGTAACAACCAAATGCATTGTGTGATCCTTGTTTGAATTCCAGGTTAAGAAAATATTTCGAGGACAATTGGGAAAATTTAAATATGGACTGGATATTAATTGACATTAAGGAATTTTAATTTTTTAGATGTGAAAATGAAACTGTGATTATGTTACAGAGGTCCTTATTTTTAGAATATGGATGCCAAATAATTTAGGGATATAGTGTCGTGATGTCTGATTTACTTTGAATATTTTATTCGGAGAGAGAGAATTACTCTATTTATATGTATGTTTAAAATTTTTCCTATTAAATAAAAATATATGTCAGATCTTAATGTTTCTCTTAAAACCATGCATTAGCTTCCCATTTTATAGGTGAAAATGGCTCAGAAGGCGCTGTATATTTCCCCTCTACCTCCTTATTTTTCGGAACTTATCTTCTACTACTATCTCCCCTACTCTCTCTGCTTCAATCATACTGATATGCTCTCACCTTAATACCTTTATTTTATCTCTTTCTGAAACTCTTTCCCTCTAGATCTTCACTTGGCTAATTCCTTCTTTTCCCTTAGGTCTTTACTCCGATCTCACCTCTTCCATGAGACCTGCCTTGAATATTTAAAACTGAAAACTTCTCCATTCCATATCTTCCCATTCTTCTTTACCCCGCCCTACTTATTTTTTCCCAGTAGCTACCACTTTATAATATCTATATTATCTATTAGTGTTTTGTTTATTGTTTTTTAATTAAAAAAAATTTTTTTTAATTTTACTTCTTAGAAGTCAGTATTTATTGTTTATTGGCTATATTTCTCACAAAACCAGGACTAGTCTGAGGCAAATGAGGTACTTGCCATAGATGAAAACTTTAAGGGGCTACCAAAAAATTGTTTTAGTAAAATTAATGCAAAATAAATCCATGATGAACAAGATACCATTATTTTAAATAAGAGACAGAATCCAACAGTGCTATCCCTAATCATTTTGAAACCTGGGGCAAAAGAAAAAGTATGTGCCCCCATATATATGTGTGTGTATATATATATACACCTTGTAATGTATTTTTAAAATAGCTAATGGTTTTAATGAAAATATTATTGATGAGCAGCTTCCATTAAAGCCAGGAAAGTAAGATTATAATAAATCAGGGTGACAGTGTAAATAGAATATTTAACCTTAAAATAATATTGTCAGATTTAATATGTACTTTAAAATTTTTTAATATTTTTTCAACTACTTTATTGTTCTGGAAAAAAACATTAAAATGTATTTTTTAAGAAACATGTATATAAATATTTAGTTCAAGAGAGAGTTTCCCCCTGTAAAATATTAATATATTTATATAAAGATAAGTTCATATTTACTTCAAATTTCTTAAGGTTTTGCAAATATTCAATAGTATAGCGAGGGGATAATCTTTTAAGTGCTCTAGTGTTCAAAATGCAACATACAGAAAACTTCACTATCAGATCTATACAAACATTTTAAATTTTTAATTAATATTTCATCATCAAAAGCATAGAAGTAATTTTCTTGATTTATAAAAACAACTTTAAGAAAAGCTTATGCTCAAGAACCATTTTTATCTCCTATGAAATTACTAATATTAACAGTAGGCCATATTCAAACTTTTAAAGGGTTCTCAGATATTTAATATTGCATTCAAGAATATTCATTTAAATGCTTTGACTTTTAATATGCAGGGAGTATCAAACTTCATTTGATTAAAAGATAAGACTATATTTGCAATCGCTCTGTTTCTGTTTGGGTTATATAAATATTTTTCTAAATAGAAGGATTCTAATGAAGGGCATAACAAAACATCAGTGGAAAAGTGGATAGTTACATAGAAGCACAGACACACAGACATGCCCGATGTAAGAACAATCATTCCTTTCTCATTGGTCAGGAATAGGTTCTTCCTGGAATTCTGGGGAATAAGTACATTCCCCAAACCACAGTATTAAACCTTTTGCACGTGCTGAGGGCTAGCAATCATCAGAACTGTAATAGGGAGAAAATATACAAAGGATAAAGATTCCACAAGTTCACCCCAGTGGAACTGAGTAGGTGGGGAGTGAGGTGAGGTAAAGGTTGATGTTAAGAAAACTAGTCTTGGTGCCCTAGGATTCTTACTGCAGACCACAGAAAAAACACCATATGCCAAAGATGTTGAGATAATCTCATAGCCACATCTATAACATTGTTGCCAAGGGAAAATGTACTCCAAATGCCAAGTGGCCAACTTAAGAACAAATTTTTAGTTCATTTTGTTTTTTGTTTGTTCAGAGGGATGTATGTATTCCATTTTTTTCTGTTGTATTTATTAAACTTAATTCTATAGAACATCAGTTGATTTTTTTTTTTACTTTAAAAGTATTTTAACTGATGTTCTTCTCAATTTATTCAGTTGGTGGAACTTCATGTTTTTTATGTCCCTGAAGGATCATGGAACTATAAGCTAAATACCATTTCAACAGAAGTTGTTAACAAATTCATTTCAGCTGGATTTCTAAGGCAAGTGTTGTGTAGTCATGTAACAATATGCCTGAAAGAAGAATCTTTCTTTCTTCAGAGAAAAATGCTTTTTGGAAATTTAAAAAGTATAAGTGAAAAATATTTTGTCCATGTGATAGATCCATTTCCTAACTTAATACTCTCAATATGTAGTGCTATGTAACAATTAAATCAGTTGTGTAAGAATAGCTCACTTGGCCATAATACTACCACCCAGAAAACAGTATATAACCTGTGTATTATTATGGTCATACACAAAGTGAATTAAGAGAGAAGTTATCTAAAATTAAAAATCTACTAAACTACTCAGGAGGCTAAAGTGGGAGGATTGCTTTGAGGCCCAGAAGTCAAGGCTGCAGTGAGCCATGACTGCACCACTGCACTCCGGTCTGGGCAACAGAGTGAGACTCTGCCAAAAAAAAAAAAAAGAGAGAGAGAGAGGGAGAGAGGGAAAGAGAAGGAGGAAGGAAGGAAGGGAGGGGAGGGAGGGAGGGAAGGAAGGAAGGAAGGAAGGAAGGAAGGAAGGAAGGAAGGAAGGAAGAGGGAGAGAGAAAGAGAAGGAGGAAGGAAGGAAGGGAGGGGGAGGGAGGGATGAAGGAAGGAAGGAAGGAAGGAAGGAAGGAAGGAATGGAAGGGGGTAGCTAGGGAAGGAAGGAAGGAAGGAAGGAAGGAAGGAAGGAAGGAAGGAAGGACTGCTGAAGATCTGAGAATAGTAGTTAAAGCAATATATCTACAATGCCTCTTTCTCTGAACTGTTTAAAAATATAAACAAAGAACGTGTTTATATGTATGTAGATGTGTATTTTCACATTCACAAAAAGACACATAACAGTATGTGATCTGACTGCCTATTGTTACCCCTTTAGCACACCTCTCTTCCTAATCTTCATCATCACTTTCTTCAACCACATCAGCCTCCTTTCTGTTCTGTAACACATAGCCCTACCTCAGGACGCTTGTACTTTCTGTTCCTTTTGTCTAGAATGAGTTTTCTGCCCTAACCATATGCTCTCCCATTTCCTTCAGGTCTTTACTCACATATTACCTTTTTGTGTGGATATTCTCTAATCACTATATTTTAAATCATTTGTACAGTCCCTTTCTCCCTTCCCTGCCTTATTTTTCTCTGTAGTACTTAGTAGTGTCTTATGGGTTACATTTTTTTACTTATTTACTTCATTAATTTTTCTATCCCACCACTAGATTATAAAGTCCATGAGGGCAGAGATTTTTGTTTTGTTGACTGCCATATTCCCATCCCTTGGAACAATGTCTGACACATAATAGATGCTCAACAAATATATGTTGATTGAATGAATTATCTAATATTTCTCATAAGGTCCTAGAAAAACAAGAGCTCAGATGATAGATAAGTGATGGCTTTAAATTTTAGATATTCAGGAGCAAAGTATCCCTAATAAACAAAGATGTGGAATCTGGCAATGTTAGATTATTTTAAAAAGTTTTAAGCACTAGCTACTGCTACCAAACTTCCAAAATAAATATCTGTGGCCAAATCACTCATTAATGTATGTATAAAGGTACATCTATTCCACAGCAAATTTTAACAATAAAATTTGGAAGTAGATTTCTGAGAGACAGTCATTTTCCTTTTCAGTACAAAACATTTATAAACAGTGTTTATTTGCATAATTTTAAAGGCAGACTTCTAATTATTTATTTTAAGAGATATTTATGGAAGACCTACAAAATGCCAGCAGTGTAGAAACATGTTAAGCTATATCTGACACATTAAATCAACCTTTGTGTTTGAGATAGCTGACTAAAGTTATTGAATCATTAGTATATCCAAAATCTATTTCATTTTATATTATAAGGCAATTTTATAATATTTCAGAGTATCTCCTCAACTTACTTTACGAGCCCTGAGGGAGCGTCTTGGTGAATTCCTGGGTGAAGATGCTATTGCAGAAAAATTTTTATTTCTGAAATGCATTGGAAATAATTTAGCTGTGGTAAGTTTTCTTTTTTTTCTTTCTTATTGAGAAAGACCATACCTTCTCAAATTATATTTCTTAACTACTTATCAACTCAGCTTCTTAAGATATTATTAGATATGTAATGTCAATCAAAACAAAATGGAAATATCATTAAACATACAGATCAACAAAGATAGGTTGCATAGGCATGTTATTGGGCGTGAAAATGATGGGTTTTCTATGTGTGAATTTCCTTGCAAAGCAGAGAAATACCAGTTTAAAATGTGATCATATAAGTTCTTAAATTTAAATGAAAGTTTTTAAGTGTTTTAAGCAAGTACTTGAGTTCTGGAAAAAAAAAAATGGGATTCTCATTGCTTGCGCCACAACTAGACTCATTTGATGTGAAAATGATATGGCTCCAACATATTTTTTTGGTGTCAACGGTTTTTTATTTTTATTTTTATTTTTATTTGTTTTAGATGGAGTCTTGCTCTGTTGCCCTGGCTAGAGTGTTGTGGTGCAATCTTGGCTCAATGCAACCTCCACCTCCCAGATTCAAGCAATTCTCCTGCCTCCCGAGTAGCTGGGATTACAGGCGCGTGACACCACACCCAGCTAAGTTTTGTATTTTTAGTAGAGACAGAGTTTCACCATGTTGACCAGGCTGGTCTCGAACTCCTGACTTCAGGTGATCTGCCTGCCTCAGCTTCCCAAAGTGCTGGGATTACAAGTGTGAGCCACCATCCCTGACTAGTGTCAACTATTATTTACTGAACACTCTTATTTGTAGTTTCTATGACTTAGTGGGCAGAATACTCTAAGTAGAAAGTATTCCTAGCTTAAGTTTCAAATCTAACAAGCCATCAGATCTCAAAGTTTCTGGTCTCTCATATCTATATAAATTTTATTTCCTTAAGATTTTCTATATTTAAACTCTTTAAAATGCAGCATATTCTTATTTCACTCTCATTAACAGATTATATCATTATTATGTGTTTATGTGAATATTTGCTTAACATCTAACTCTACCATTAGATTATAGTTCCTTGTGGGGAGGGACTTCGTTTTATTCACCATTGTATTTATAACCAGTGCCTAACAAGGTGCTTTGCACTAGAGGTGTTTAATGTTCACTGAACAAATTAAATCATGAATGATAATGGAAAAAATAGGCATTTTCTTCCAAAGTACTACTATAATTTGCTGTGTGAGATTCTTGGGATCAGTAGCTAAATTTGAAGAGGTTTTGGTCATCAGAATTCTATTTAGTATAACTTTTGGCATATTAATATTAATTTACTGATCAGTAAGTTAGCTTTCCTCAAACAGGGAAGAAAATTAACAATTCTCATAATTTTTTGTTCTTTTTCATGATATGTATATGTACAAAATATCAATCATAGAATCCCAGATTGGAAGGGACTTTCTAAGTAATTGACGTCAATTTCTAAAATCCTTGTAATATTTTATTATTTTAAACAAATATTTATTAATGTTTTTCTATATACAAAACTAGAAAAGAACTAGATATAGATCTTGCCCTCAGAGTGCTCAGTGTAGTGATGAAGATTAAAATGCATAAAATAAATAAATAAAATATCATATTTTATATATTCAGAAGAAAAGGAGATTACTTCCAGCAGGGGAAGAGGGGAGGTAGAAAACTTTGAGGAAGAAGCAATATTTCAGTTTGGATCCTAAAAGAAAAATATTTGTTCTTGCAAAGATGAAGGGTGAGAAAAGCTTTCTGAACAGAGAAAACAGGATAAGCACAGAAGTAGAAATGCAGACAACTCAGAAATAATAAATGGTACTGTTTTTAGTGGAGCATTGACTACATGAAAGGAAATAGTGGGATGCAAGTTATAAAGTCATTTGTTGAAGTTCTCAAATGCCAGATTTGTAGTTTGGATTATTTCTTGAAACCATGAAGTTTTTGACTAAGAGTGACATGATCAGAACCTCAGTAAAATTAACTGGGCCTCACTGAGAAAGATAGATTGAAGTGAGGAGGCAAGAATTTCAGTAAGAAAGTTGTACAGTGGTTCAGGCAAGAGATAATGAGGGCCTAAGGAACAAGCTGCCTCTCAAATTTCATCTATGGCCATTTTCTCCTTGGTTTCATACTTCAGCTATAAAAATCTTCCTTTGGTCCTCAAATATGGCAGACTCATTTCTGATTTTTGGTCCTTGCACTTGCCTAGCAATCATTTCTCCCTAATTTTCAGATAGCTGGCTGTTTCTTTTCATAATTCAGGACTTAGCTCAAGTATTATCTTTTCTGAAAGGCCTTCCCTGACCAACTAGTTTTCAGACATTCTTTCTTCAAGTTACTCTTTATTACATCACTCTATTTTCTTTTCATAAAACACATATCACCATCCTAAATTGGGTTTATTTAGTTATTTAATATCTGCTTTCCCAAGTAGAACATAAGCTCCATGAAAGCAGAAATTTTGCCTTATTTATCATTGTATCCATAGCATGTAGAACACTGCCTGACAGATAGTATGCCCTCAATATTTGTGTTTTGTTTTTGAGACAGAGTTTTCCTCTGTTGCCCAGTCTGGAGTGCAGTGGTGCACTCTCAGCTCACTGCAGCCTCCACCTCCCAGGTTCAAGCGATTCTTCTGCCTCAGCTTCCCGAGTAATTGGGGGAGCCACCACACCTGGCTGATTTTTGTATTTTTAGTAGAGATGGGGTTTCGCCATGTTGGCCAGGCTGGCCTCGAACTCCTGACCTCAAGTGATCTGCCCTCCTTGGCCTTCCAAAGTGCTGGGATTACAGGCGTGAGCCACCACGCCCAGTCCCCCAATATTTGTTAAATAAATAAATAAATAACAAATGAACTCTATGGGTTGAATATGTAGGAAATAAAGTTTACTAAGTTGGACTCTAGGGTCAGATCACCTGGTTTTGAATCCAAACCTGGAAATTTCCTAGGTATACAATCTTTACTGAGTGTAAAACACTTAGAATAGTGCCAGAGACATAGTAAGTCCATGTAAGTGATAGGCATAGTTATTATTAATAAATGACATAGAACTTCTATTATGTTTGGTACAGTGAATAAAAGTAACATTATATTCTTCATTTCTAGAATCTAGCAGTAGTTACTAGCTTTTAAATTTGATTTTTATATTTGCCACAAATACATGCCTTCTGCAAAAAAAGTAGAGGTAAAAATAATTGAAAAAAAATGTAGCAACAGTTTTAATTTTTTCTCATTACTTATTTCTAGGTGAAGGAAAAGCAAGAATCAGAACTGAAACTCAAATCATTTGCTCCTCCATATGTATGTAATGTGACATTTTAAACTTATGCTAATTTTTAACTTACAGCACTGCTTTTAATTACAAACTAACTTTTAAAATTTCCTATATGTTTTAGGCTCTTCAACCAGAATTATATTTGCTTCCTATAAAGGACCATTTAGGAAATGTTTATTCACCATCATCAACAGTTATTTTAGATGAGCGGCAGACTAATAATGGTGCTAATGAGGCTGATGGAACAATCCACAGACCAATTAGTATAACTTTGTTCAAGGAGGAACTTGGAAGAGATCCCAGTTTGTTAGAAAACACTTTGAAAGAGCTTCCTAACAAGAATCAGGAAGAAGGTGATTTTAAACTGGAATGGGAAAAAGAAAGAGGCTATTATAGTACATTTTAGCAGTAAGTCTGTAAGCAAACCCTGAGCAAACCTAGCCTTACAAATATAGGCAGTATAAAAAGAAAGCTACAATTCCACTTGGGGATTTCTAAAAAAATAATTTTGCCAGATGGGAGGAAAAGAAAACAATTTAAGTACTATGTTAAAATAAAAACAAAATCAAAATAGTTGCAGCACTTAAATGAACATTACCACCTTTACTTCTTTTTTAATAAAGTAGTTTTAGATAAAAGTAAAGCTACAGGGAAAGAGAAAGGAAAGATGACTGCATAAAACTTTAATATGACTCAGAGACCAGAAGGGTCAGGAAAACAATATCAAACCAACACAACAACAAAAACAAAACTTTAATGTTGGGGAACATATGTATTTCAAATAATGTTAAAATTTTTATCTGATTACACCTATCAATTTACTAATAATTACTAATAATTTGATTCTTCAAAAGTGATAGGGGCCAGGAGTGGTGGCTTATACCTGTAATAAGCACTTTAGGAGGCCAAGGTGGGTGGATCACTTGAGCCCAGGAGTTTGAGACCAGCTTGGGCAACATGGCAAGACCCTGTCTCTATAAAAAATGCAAAAGTTAGCCAGGTCTGATGGCACATGCTTGTAGTCCCAGTTACTCAGGAGACTGAGGTGGGAGGATTGCTTAAGCCAGGGAGGGGGAGGTTGCAGTGAGCTGAGATCACACTATCAGCCTCCAGCCTGGGTGACAGAAAGAGACGCTGTCTCAAAAAAAAAAAAAAAAAAAAAAAGGTAATTTAAAATGTTTACATAAAAATTAAACTCAGACTGGGCGTGGTGGCTCACTCCTGTAATCCCAGCACTTTGGGAGGCCAAGGCGGGCGGATCACGAGGTCAGGAGATCGAGACCATCCTGGGTAACATTGTGAAACCCCGTCTCTACTAAAAATACAAAAAATTTGCCGGGCATGGTGGCAGGTGCCTGTAGTCCCAGCTACTCAGGAGGCTGAGAAAGGAGAATGGCGTGAACCCAGGAGGCGGAGCTTGCAGTGAGCCGAGATAGCGCCACTACACTCTAGTCTGGGTGACAAAGCGAGACTCTGTCTCAAAAAAAAAAAAAAATTAAAATTAAAATTAAACTCACTGAGCATCTAACTGGTGTCAAGTAATAAACAGTAAATATTAAATGTGCCTAAGATGAAAGCAAGTACTAACTTTGGAACATTGTTGGGTTTAGCATAAATTTAGAATACAAGAAATGTAACTGATTAAGAACTGCTATATTCTACAGCTTTAATAGATGTCTTTAGTCAACATCTGGGGGATGCATTTCATTTGTAAATGTTTAGTATATCTGCTTTTCCTTCACAGTTTATTTTTTAATGTAATATGGTAAAAAAGTTAAAAGTTAAACTAATTTTTTTCCTATTGATTCTTAGACTATAGTCAACTTTATATGCTTTGAATGAGAGGACAGTGTGTTCAATTTTAAAAGTTCTAGAAACATCAGTAAGTATAAGGAAGAAAATAAGTATAAAGTATACTTTTACTAATAAATGTAAAGAAGAAAATAAAGACTGACAATAATTTTACTACTCAGAGATTACTACTACTTAGAATTCTGATGTATATTCTTCTGGTTATTTTTTAGTTCCTATATATAAATAATATGTGTTTTTATTTTTCAAAAATGAAGACACATAGACTCTTAAAGCCTCTTTTATTTTAAAATATAAACATTTCATATCAATAAATATAGATCTATATCATTATAGAATTCCCTATGTCATAATTTACTTCCCCAACCCTTTATTAATGTTTCTGTTATCATGTATAGTGCAATGAGCAACATTTTTTTTTTCTTTTTGAGATGGAGTCTCGCTCTGTTGTCTAGGCTGGAGTGCAGTGGCACAGTCTCGGCTTGCTGCAACCTCTCACTCCCAGGTTCAAGCAAATCTTCTGCCTTAGCCTCCCTAGTACATGGGACTACAGGTGTGAACCAACATGTCCAGCTAATTTTTGCATTTTTATTAGAGATGGGGTTTCACCATGTTGGCCAGGGTGGTCTCAAACTCCTGACCTCAGGTAATCCACCCACCTTGGCCTCTCAAAGTGTTAGGATTACAGGCGTGAGCCACCGCTCCAGGCCAGAGCAACCCTTTTCTAAATGCAGTTTCGTGCATTTGTCCTATTATTATTTTTAGAAGTTTAACTGCTGTTTCTAAGGTAATGTAGTATTGTTGTCATTGTTCCTAGACCTTCCAACCTTGTGTGTTTTTCTCTGGTCACACTTCTTCCTTCTCCAGTAGAGATAACTACTGCTTTGATATTTGTGGTAATCGTTTTCTTGCTTTTCTTTTGCTTTCTGTATTTTGAAGCTCTGTTATTAGGTGCATGCATATTTAGGATTATTATGTCTTCTTGATAAATTGACCCCTATTTCATGTAATGTTTCTCTTTATCTCTGGTGGTAGTACTTATTTTGAATTATTTTCTTAACTTTAATTTGTGGTTTATCTTTTTACACTATGATTCTTTTGATCATAAGAATTCCTTGTAGTTTTACAACTGAGATATATATCCCTTGATAATATAGTTTAGTTATGTCTGTTTTGAATTTTATTTATGTATATCATTTTGAACTTGAGTAAGAGAAACTCAACATTGTAAGAGTCAACCATACCGTCACATGTAACACTATTTCTTTTCATTGTTGTGCTATTCCATTTTATATTCATACAATTTATTTACATTACAATTTATTCGTCTATTCTATGGCTGATGGACATTTGGTTTGTTTGCAGCTTGGGACTATTACAAATATCCTATTATGTACATTTTTGTACCCAAGTCCTAAATGTGCATGTGCAAGAGAATTGGCATTGTTTGTTGTTAATGTTCATGTACATGTACATGTTCAACTTCACTAAACATCCATGTGTTTTCCAAAGCGATAGTACCCAGCAGCAATGTCTAAAAGTTCCTATTGAACCATAATCTTGCCATTTTCTGTCTTCTTGTTTCTCTGCTCCACATTCTGGAAAAAATAAAGAATGAGGTAGTATAGATTTCTTCCAAATGCATTTTCAGTTATCCCAAAATATCATTCATTCCCTCCCCACTGATTTCAAATGGCACCTTTACCACACTATATATATAAATATATATATATATATATACACACTCATACCTATATTCTTATATATACAAGACCACTTTCAGACTTTATCCATCTTCTGAACTAGTACTGACATTAATATTTTTTATATATCTGGCAGGGTGATTTCCCATTCAATATTATTATTCTTTATTGTGAGGTTCAAAATTGGATATCATATGTGAAACTGCTTTGTATCTGTAAATCACCACACAAATAAATATAAATAATTTTTTCAATAGTTTTGGTTTGAACTTTTATTTCCTCTGTGGTTTGTCATTTTGTTGGAAAGAAATCCAGTTTTTAAAAATTTTTATAAATATTATAAACTCTTTGAGGACAAAGATTTATTGCTACTTACTCAGAGTCAAACACAGTGCCTAGACCACAGTCCTGAATAAATATTTGTTGAAAATTAATAACTGTCTTAACATATCAATGAGTAAATATGTAATCAATTACTGTGTTCTTAGACAGTAACTGTAATGGTACAAAAATGATAACAGATGCTATCCCTTCTGAAACATGACATTTTAGAGAAGAAATTTATAATAAATAATAAAGTTTGGGGAGAATGTAGGTAATATGTTTTTGTTTTTGTTTTTGTTTTTAGAGGGAGTCTCGCTCTGTTGCCAAGCTGGAGTGCAGTGGTGCGATCTCAGCTCACTGCAACCTCCGCCTCCCAGGTTCTAGCAATTCTCCTGCCTCAGCCTCCTGATAGCTGGGATTACAGGTGCCTGCCACCACACCCAACTAATTTTTGTATGTTTAGTAGAGACGGGGTTTCTCCATGTTGGCTAGGCTGGTCTCAAACTCCTGACCTCAGGTGATCCGCCCGCCTTGGCCTCCCAAAGTGTTGGGATTACAGGCGTGAGCCACTGCGCCTGACTGAAGTCTAAACTTTTTTTTTTTTTGGAGACGGAGTCTCGCTCTGTCCCCTCAACTGGAGTGCAGTGGCACAATCTCGCCTCACTACAACTTCTGCCTCCTGGGTTCAAGCGATTCTCCTGCCTCGGCCTCCTGAGTAGCTGGGACTACAGGCACACGCCGCCACGCCTGGCTAATTTTTTTGTATTTTAGTAGAGACGGGGTTTCACCATGTTGACCAGGCCGGTCTTGAACTCCTGAGCTCAGGCAATCCACTGGCCTGGGACAGGCAGTCCGCCCATCTCGGCCTGCCAAAGTGCTAGGATTACAGGCGTGAGCCACCACACCTGGCTGAGCCTAACCTTAAGATGGCATAGAGAACTCTTCAAACCCAGGGCTACAGCATATGGCCATGGAGATTGTTTAGTGCCTATCTCCAGAAGGCCTCCTTCTCATAGATCGTGATATGAATGAAGCTTTCAGGATTTACTTAATGTTGGGGTTAGTTCAGTAATTTTTTTCTATTATTATTAGTAGTAATACTACTGTTATAATAGTATGAGATTAGGAAAGGGAGGGAGAGAAGTACTATGAACTGGTACTTCTGGAGAGGTAGGTAGCGACTTGAGCTACAAGAGCCTTGCTTGCAAAGCTAAATAGTTTAGTAGGTAATGGGAAGCAATCTGAAGTTTTTAACTGAGTGGCATGATTGGATTTTAGTTCTAGAAAAACAACTTAGGTGACAAGATGGAAAATAGACTTAGGGACTAAGAAAATGGCAATGGGATATAAATCAGAACTTAAAGTCAAGAAACTTCTCAGGATTGGACAGTGTGCTAGGTGGTTTACGTGCATTATGCCATTTTAGAGATAAGGAAAGAGAAGTTAGAGAAATAACTTACCTAAAGTCATACATGTTATGGCCATGCCAGGGCTTGAGCTCTTGTGTGTCTGACTAAAGTCCATGCTTTATAACACTGTGCTAGAGTCATACTGAACTTTTCATTATGGATAAAAATGCTTCACACATTATTAGTATTCCGCTCCTTGCACATACCATATTCTTTGCTTAAAATCCTCTTGCTCCCTTCTTTGCCACCAAATAGCTCATAGTTCAAAACTTAGTTTCACAGTTATCACTCCCTTTTCTGTGACTCTATCATATTTTAAACATATATTTGCTGGAGTTCTCAAAACACTGAGGTCTACATTATTGTTTCTTTTTATGGGTGGGTAGGGAGAGTTGTAGTTTACTATTAGCTTTTACACATTTGGTACGTCCATTTTTTATTCATTTTGCATTATATAGATTTTTTCTGTTTTTTTGTTTTGTTTTGTTTTGTTTTGTTTTTTGTTTGAGACAGGGTCTCTTTCCAGCCCAGGCTGGAGAGCATTGGCACAATCTCAGCTCACTGCAGTGTCTGCTTCCTGGATTCAAGCTATTCTCCTGCCTCAGCCTCCCAAGTAGCTGGGATTACAAGTGCATGCCACCACACCTGGCTAATTTTTGTATTTTTAGTAGACACAGGGTTTTACCATGTTGGTCAGGCTGATCTTGAACTCCTGACCTCAAGTGATCTACCTACCTCGGCCTCCCAAAGTCCTGGAATTACAGATGTGAGCTGCCACACCCAGCCTCTGTTTGTTGTTCTTAAGTGACAATTTCAATGCCAGGTGGGTAATAAATTGTAGCAGCCAAACAAAAACCAATATGGGCTCCAGATCGCACAATATTGTGGCAAGTCTTTTTTGTTTGTTTGTTTGTTTTGTTTTTGTTTTTGTTTGAGACAGGATCTTGCTCTGATGCCCAGGTTGGAGAGCAGCGGTGTGATCATGGCTCACTGTAGCCTCAACCTTCCAGGATCAAGACATCCTCCCACCCCAGTCTCCCAAGTAGCTGGGAACACAGGCATGCACCACCATGCCTGGCTAATTTATTTTTGTAGAGTTTTTAAAATTTTTGTAGAGATGTTGCTCAGGCTGGTCTTGAACTACTGGGCTCGAGATACCCTCCTGCCCAGCCTCCCACAGTGCTGGGTTTACAAGCATGAGCCACCATGCCCAGCAACAACCCTTGTAAAATGACTTTCAAATATTAACTTGGCTCACTTATTCTTTTCTGAATTAAAAAAATTGATTTCTCCAAGGGAAAAAAACTGCATTAATACTGCCAGGTTCATGGATCTTTTGTTTATATAGACCATGTAGAACATTAGTGTTAATATTTCAAAGATGGATGGTGTAGTTTTTCTGTATTGAGAAATGCTGTTAAAATGAAGGGAGATTTTATCAATGAAAATGTATGTGAAATAAAAATGACATTTTATGTTCTGTATTTATACCAGCATTTTCAAGAGAAGGTTCCTCAGAGCACTGTTTCAAAAACTGCTTTGGCAAATTGTTTGTAAAGACAATTAAGGCCGAACGCGGTGGCTCATGCCTGTAATTTCAGCACTTCGGGGGGCCAAAGTGGGCATATCACCTGAGGTCAGGAGTTCAAGACGAGCCTTGCCAATCTGGTGAAACCCTGTCTATACTAAAAATACAAAAATTCGCTGGGCGTGGTGGCACATGCCTGTAATCCCAGCTACTTGGGAGCCTGAGACAGGAGAATCACTCGGACCTGGGAGCTGCAGTGAACCAAGATTGCACCACTGCACTCCAGCCTGGGCGACAGAGCAAGTCTCTATCTAAAAAAAAAAAAAAAAAAAGACAATTAAATTTCAGGAAACCCCCATCTTACCTACCAGCTCTTGCAGACTTAGTTGTACACAGAGACAGACAAACCCTTCAATCGGAGTGAATGTGTGTGTAGGGGATTGTGTTGCTGTTTGATATTGCTTAATTCAACATTTCCCAAGCTGAATTAACCAAATAATTTCCTTTTCACATAAACTAATATTTCATGAAATTCACTTTGGAAACTGTTGACTTGTATCTATATAGGAAAGTACATGGGGATTCTGAAATCTAGGATAAGATTATAATGTATACATATAAAAACATAAGTTTATTTTAGTATTTTCTTAACATTCTGAACTTTATTTGCCACGGATGACTATCAACATCAGCTGGGGGAAAAGCCACTGCGGAAAAAAGTCAGATTGCAAAAAATCAAATTAGAAATTCTGAGTTGCCAAGATCATTGGAAGATTCAAATAATGATTGCTTTGGCACCAAAAAAAGGTAATTAGTATAGATGCTGATTCCACATGCCATAATCTAAACAATAAGAAAAAGAGTAAGCTATTCAGAGTACTGTTATAAAGACTTTTACTTAAAGATATGAGTGAAATTAGTGATATTTTAATTAAAATTATCTTGATTCAGATCTTTACTGTTTTTTTGCCAACATTCCTCTCCAAGATAATGAGGGATGATTCATAGCCTAAATTTATTTCTATTGTAATACTTTTATCATTGGGACAACTTGATGACAGAAAAATTTCTTTGTTTCCCTTCATTAGAACTAATTATCCTGCCTCTCCTAAGTTCTTGGTTATATGTAAACTAATCAATATGCTTGATTTTCACACCGGTATCATTTCATTCAAAATTGTAGTAGTTAGACAAGAGTTTTACACAGTCTTTTGAAATTAAGATAAGGGTTTTTATGAACAGTTATTCACAAAAGAACAATAAACAAATATGTTTCTAAAATTTCAAGTAATTTTATCTTGCTGTAGATATTGAACTAGAATTTAGTTATAGTGAAATATGATTTTATTACTCATACTAAATTGTAGCTTTACATGGATTACTAATGAGTCTGAAAGGACATATGATAATGGTCTCAGGCTGACCTTGAAAATTTTCAATATTTGTGTTTACAGAGCATCAAATAAAATACATAAAATATGAAAAGCTAATATTCATGGGATCATGTTTTAATGACTTTCAAACCTGTCATTTCCTTTAAGTCAGTGTCTTTGGGAAAATGAAGATGATACAGCTATCAGTAGAAGACAGGACAATCAGGTACTATTTTAAATTTTTTGTTTAAATATGGTATTGCAACATTATAATATTTTTACTAAGATTAAACTGAATCTGCAGATTAAAATGTCTAAGTTTTCCAGGAACATACTTCTAATATTATCAATAGTAGTTCAATTTTTCTGTTTTTATAAATAAGGTAACAATATGCCCAAATGAGAAGGGGGAAAAGTTATCCACCAACACCTTTTTGGATTATCTTCTCAAATTTTATTACTAGTTTTAAAGGTACATCAAACTGCACTTAACTAGCAACTTTCATAGCTAATTTGTAATTTAATATATTAATACCTGTACTTGATTAACTTGTCTCTTTAGAACAGAATTATATAGTGTGTTAAGAAGCAGTATAGTAGTAAACTGTTTATGTTATAGTTACTAGCTATGTGATCTTGGGTATATTACCTAATTTGAATTGCCCTGGGTTAAATGAGTTAATGAACACTATTCACATCACCAGTTTATTCTCAAGAAATGATGGAAAGACTAGGAGAATTTTGCAGATATTTGCAGGATGAATTTAGGACAGTCTTAAGAATAACAATACTAATTTTAATAATAGCTATCAATGAGTATCAACTACCAGGCACTATTCTAAGTATTTTACACATACTGACTCATTTAATCCCCATAAAAGAAACTCCATGAGATAGGTTATAGTTATCATTTCCATTTTGCAGATGAGGAAACTGAGGCACAGAAAGGTTCCATGGCTTTCCCAGGTCATACATATAGTTAGTAAGTACTAGAGCTGGGCTTAGATCCTAAATAGTGTAGACTGGCTTCAGAGTTCATAGTCTTAACCATTTTAATAACTACCTACCTAAATAATAGTACTAATAACATAGCAACAAACAATTAGATAGCATTTATTGAGCCAATCACTGTTCTAAATGCTTTATGTATGTTAATTCATTTAATTCAACAACTATTTGTGGAGGTACTGTTATCCTTATTTTCAGATGAGAAAATTAAAACGCAGAAAGTTACATTAATGTTTCCATGGTTATGTCTTTCATACTCATTGGACAAAATTCCAACCATAGTTAATAAACCACAAACTTCAAATGAGTCTTTAATTCTGCCAACAAATATACTACATTTTCTTGGTCCATTACTATTCTTCTAGACACCTCTGTCATACTTTCTCCTCAAACAATCAAGACCTCCTTTCTCTTGCACTCTCAGTGATAATTTTTGTTAAATAGAGGTAATTTGAAGAGAACCACTAATCTCAAAATTTTATATGCAGAATTAGGTTGGGGTTGTGGTTCAGTTGAGATCCTCAGATACCCACTTACTACACCATTTGTTAAGACTTTATTTTTCCTATTGCATTATTCAAAACTCAGTTGACTCTATAAGATCTAGGACAACTTCTAGCCTCCCTTTCTGCTCAATGATTTTTTTTATCCTTATGCCAATACCACATTATCTTCATTACTGAGGCTTTATAGTAGTTATTGTTATAAGATAGCATAAGATTTCCAAGTTAATTTTTTTCAAGATCATTTTGGTAATTCTAGATTCTTTGTGTTTTTGTATAAATTTTAGAATCAGCTTGTCAATTTCTTACCACAAGACTACTGGAATTTTGAGTGAAATCACTGTGAATCTGTCAATCAATTTGGGAGGAAAACTTATATCCTAACTATACTGAATCGTCTAATCTATGAACACAGTATATTTCTCTATTTATGTCACTAGTTTCTTTCAGCAGTGTCTGTGGTTTTAGTGTATTGCTCTTAGATCTTTTAATATTACATTTATTTTTAGGTATTTGGTATTTTTGAAGCTTCTATAGAATGGTATTTTACAATTTTTATTTTCTAATTGTTGCTAATTTATAGAAATGTAATTGATTTTTATACATTGAACTTGTCTATTAAGATTTTGCTAAATTCAATTAATTCTATCAGGGTTTTTTTTGTAGATTCTTCAGAACTTTCTACATACATATTCATGTCATCTGTGAATAACAACAGTTTTACTCTTTCTTTCTATTTTTGTCATGAATTAAGTGTTTTTTCCTCCAGCTTTCTGAGTGTGAGAAGCTGTAATGGCAATAACAATGATGGCTTCTTGCTTTCAGCATAGTTCTGGTGATGGCCTCAGCAATGGTAACTTCACTAATGGAAACATCACTTTAGGAGACTAGACCTAGAACCTGCTCCTCCAGTGTTTCTAATACACTTGATTTCCTTTATTACATTTCTTCCTGCTTAAACCTACACTGAACTGATTCAGTATTTGGTACAGAAAGTGTGATATGGGCCAAAAACTTTTACAAATGAGAATCTCAGACTGATTATTGCAAAAGAACTGCAATATTTTGTTAATTTGTGCTAGCAGAAACTTAGAAAAATATTATTGGGAATAGATTCAGAGCAGGAATGAAAGAATATAACTTTAAATTGGCTCAAGTTTAATAATATGGATAAACTTATCAGAGATTCTGGATTTAATGTGCTAGCTCCAGCAACTGTGAGTGGTAAAAAAACATTTTGCTAAATTGAGTGAGGCTGACAGAAACCTGGACAATATGGTGGTTCATACTGAGTAAATTTAGAATGCCAGGAATTTCTTGTTAAAAAGTAGAGCAAGAAATCTAAAGACTTTGGGGAATAAAAATGTTAAGAGAAGATTTATATCCACTTACTTCTTTAACCAGACATTGGGGAAATACATTGGAAAGGCAACCCCAGAATTCTTTTAAAAAACCTTATAGTGGCTGTTTTGTGTCACATGGAATGAAGACAGGACTATACTTGATTTCTTTTGTTTTTGTTTTTGTTTTTGGAGACGGAGTCTCACTCTGTTGCCCAGGCTGGAGTGCAGTGATGCCATCTCAGCTCACTGTAACCTCCGCCACCCAGGTTCAAGAGATTCTCCTGCCTCAGCCTCCCGAGTAGCTGGGATTATAGGCACCTTCTACCACACCCAGCTAATTTTTGTAGTTTTAGTAGAGACAGGGTTTCACCATCTTGGCCAGGCTGGTCTTGGACCCCTGACCTCATGATCCACCTGCATCAGCCTCCCAAAGTGCTGAAATTACAGGCATGACCCACCACGCCTGGCCTACTTGATTTCTTTAGAGATGACAGTATCCCTGATAGAAGCCAATTTACAGCATTTTACTATATAAGAGAAAACAGTACCAGAGTGATTGTAAGGATGTATGATTAAGAAATCCTTGACAATAGTTAATTGCCAAGGTGTCCCTAAGACTAATCATGATGTTCCTGAGACTGAAGTGGATAAGCGTACCAGTAAGCTATTGGTCTGTATAACCAAAAATTATTTTTAGTCTTCATAAATAGACATCTGCCTTGAATAACTACATGAATATTCACATCCCCTTATTAAATTACTAGACCTTAGCCAGTTTACATACCCAGAACTTATTGAGTGAAGGGGAGGCCAGGTATCCTTGAGGAAAAACCCTGTCACTCAGCCACAAGTATGGACTAAATTTCCTTACCTTCCTAAATTTCCTTTACCTTCCTTAAGGAGATGAGAGGTTGTTTACCCAGATGACTACAATGGGGAAAGGGAGGTATCCTTACTTTTCAGGATTCATGGCAATGGCTTTGATGTGATTCTGATCCTTAGGGACCTGAATAACTCTGTGTTCCACCAACAGGGTGGAGGTTTAGAGGGGTCAGATAGTAAGTGAAGTTTTGGCTAAATCACTATTCTGGTGTGCTGAATGACTTTGCAAATTCTCCCTGTAGTCATTTCCTTAATTCATGAATGCATACTTTGAAGGACTTACTCAGCAAATGTCAGAATCCTCATAATGCCTCCCTGATGCTTGCAGCATGGGCAATAAGGAATGTTATAGTAGAGAGGGCCAAGTGAAATATGATGGAATGGCCTATTCCTTACCAAAATAGTAAACCAAAGCATTACCAACCTCCTGGAGGAACTGTGAGTTTTGTGCCATGATCAAAACTTGAAAATGGCAGAAAAGGTGATTCCTATGATAGCCACATTAAACTCACCTAGTTGGTCTGTGCAGAAGATTAATGGGCCTTAGTGTCAGGTGTAACAATTGTAGCTGCTACTCTTTACATCATCTCTTTATTAGAACAAATTATTACAGACTAATGCTCCTATTATGCCATTCTTAATCTGGAAAATGCGTTTTTCTTCATCCCAATTAGCAGAGAAAACCAAAAGTAACAAATAGGAATAGCAGTAGACCTTCAGTGTTTTGCCTAAGGGCTGTGTCAATTCTGGCTCCTTGTAATAATCCAGTTTATAGGCAACTTGACCATACCATGATCCCCTTGGACCTGATTAACCGGAAATACCAAATAATCTGGATACCTTAGGTAAGACATATGTTTCTTAGGGGGTAGGAGATAAGTTGCAAGAAAATTCAGGAGTCAATCAATTCAGAGAAATTTCTGGGAGCTCCATGGTCTGCGACATATTGAGGTATCCCCTTGCCCCAGCTACCATTGAGAATGAGAAAAAGCACTTTATGGACCTTTTTTGGAATTTGTAGAGAGATTTACTGCATTTGGATGTGCCGCTCTATTTTTTTTTTTTTTAAACCAAGAGAATCAGAAGCCTGCCAACTTTTGAGTGGAACCTAAACAAGAGAAGGCTTGTAAGGTGATCCCAGAGGGATTGAAAGCAATGCTGCCACTTGTGGGGTTTTTGGTTTTGGTTTTGTTTTGATACAGGGTCTCATTCTGTCGCCCAGGCTGGAATGCAGTGGAGCGCTCACAGCTCACTCCAGCCTTGACCTCCCAGACTCAATGCATCCTCCCACTTCAGCCTCCTGAGTAGCTGAGACTACAGGCACATGCCACCACACCCAGCTAATTTTTGTATTTTTTGTAGAGTTGAGGTTTCTCCTTATTGCCCAGGCTGGTCTCCAACTCCTGGACTCAAGCAATCAGCCCTCCTCAGCCTCCCAAAGTGTTGGGATTACAGGCATGAGCCACTGCACCCAGCCCACTAGTGTTTTA